ATACAAGAGGTCAAATTGGATGGTCACACTGGTTCATTCTGGCCATACAATATGTGAATAGGGTGTTTCAACACCTCTTCTTCCAGGGGAAAGGGGATTACACAAGTACAAAAAGATTTGAACTTCTAGAAAGTTTTAGGTTTTGTTCATTTAGTAGTGAGGATTTATTTAATCCCAGCTGTAACAGGAGAGAATTGCGGTCTGTGTCTCCCAGGGCAGTGGTGAGATACAACCAACCACTCCTTAGTTTCAACCCCCCTTCAAACACAGTCTCCTTCTGTGAACTCAGATAAGCTACTTGCGGTGGAATCCTGGTCTTATTCAAGTCAATAGTAAACTCCCATTGACTGTAATGGAGTTAGGTTTTCCTTATCAAACGTAAGTGCCCTGAAATAGGCAGCAAAATTCATAATTAGGTGCCTAATAAAGTGGCTTGCTTCTCAGAAATGCTGAAAACTTGCAGCACCCATTGATTTCCAGTTTCCCAGAGATATTCCCAGGACCATCTCACAAAGATAAGGGTGCAGCTGTTCTCAAGCAGCTCTGCCTCCCTTTACTAGAGAACACAGATGCACCAAGAAAACCCAAAAATCAGCAACACCCAATGACAGATCTACAGGAGTGAGCAGTTTGGGTAAAACCCTTGCTCTATGAGGAATCTGTCAACCGACCGATTCACAGAGCTAGCAAAATTAGGGATGGCAGGCATGCAGTTTTCAACCAGAATACCTGGTTGAAAAGGGATTTTGGTAGTTCCAGTCAGCACCACCAACTGGGCCATTAAAAGTCCAGTTGGCAGTGCATTGTGGTTAATACAAATTAGTTGCTGCGTGTCCTGAATTCACAGTGCCCCAGAAGTGGCCATCTGGTCCCGTTCCTAGGTGAGGAGGTTCTACCCAATACCCTCACCCAGAGAAACGGCTTCACAGGCCTATTGGACAGGAGCTGTAGCCAATGGGAGCTGCAGGGGCAGTGCCTCCAGGCAAAAGCAGCCCACACAGCCTCCCAAATCCCCTGCCTTAGAAGACGGACATGCTGGCCGCGTCTGGGGCACAGCACAGAGCCAAGATAGACAGGAAGCCTGCCTTAACCCTGCTACACTAGTGACTGGGAGCTGCCTGAGGTAAGCCCATGCCCTAATCCCCTATCCCAGCCCTCAGTTCCCCCAAACCCCGATCCTCCAGTTGCACCCCAAACTTCTTATTCCTGGCCCCACTCCGGAGCCTGCACTACCAGCTGGAATCTGCCCCCCTCCTGCTCCCAATCCCCCAAAACCTCAGCCTCCTGCCCCAGCCCAGTGAAAGTGAGTGAGGCTGGGGGAAAGCAAGCCACTGAGCGAGGGAGAATGTAGTGAGAGGGGCGTGGCTTCAGGAAAGGGGTGGGGCTAGGGTAATCAGTTTTTTCCAGTTAGAAATCTGGCAACCCTCAGCAGACTCTGGCCTTCCCTCCATAACTCGAAAGACACAAACCACGCTGGGCGCTCAGTGAATGTCTTGATGGCATAAAATTAGATAGAAATAATGGAATCACTTAATTTTCAGTTCCATGCTCTGAATTTGACAGAGAAACCTATTTACTGTACATTGATTATCACTTTTGATCTATTACAGCACTACTTGGCAACCACATTTATAACAACAGTATTTGCTCACATAGTTTACCCTGTGCTTCTGAAAAGTACCCCGAGAGTTCGTCACCATCCCAAAGGTTTATCATCTTTGTGGCAGGGATTGATCTCCTGTCAAGCCACCAAACACAGCTGGCTTGCAGCAGGCTGCATTGCTTGCACCACTTGATTGGTCAGAAAGGGCTATGGGCTAGCTCTGAAGTCCAGAAGTGGCAGCAGCTCTCAGAGGGTATGTCTACACTACCCCGCTAGTTCGAACTAGCGGAGCACTAGTGTAGCGCCTATCAACGTTAATACGAACTAACGTCCATTAGTTCGAATTAACGTTGATAGGCGCTACACTAGTGCTCCGCTAGTTCGAACTAGCGGAGCACTAGTGTAGCGCCTATCAACGTTAATACGAACTAACGTCCATTAGTTCGAATTAACGTTGATAGGCGCTACACTAGTGCTCCGCTAGTTCGAACTAGCGGAGCACTAGTGTAGCGCCTATCAACGTTAATACGAACTAACGTCCATTAGTTCGAATTAACGTTGATAGGCGCTACACTAGTGCTCCGCTAGTTCGAACTAGCGGAGCACTAGTGTAGCGCCTATCAACGTTAATACGAACTAACGTCCATTAGTTCGAATTAACGTTGATAGGCGCTACACTAGTGCTCCGCTAGTTCGAACTAGCGGAGCACTAGTGTAGCGCCTATCAACGTTAATACGAACTAACGTCCATTAGTTCGAATTAACGTTGATAGGCGCTACACTAGTGCTCCGCTAGTTCGAACTAGCGGAGCACTAGTGTAGCGCCTATCAACGTTAATACGAACTAACGTCCATTAGTTCGAATTAACGTTGATAGGCGCTACACTAGTGCTCCGCTAGTTCGAACTAGCGGAGCACTAGTGTAGCGCCTATCAACGTTAATACGAACTAACGTCCATTAGTTCGAATTAACGTTGATAGGCGCTACACTAGTGCTCCGCTAGTTCGAACTAGCGGAGCACTAGTGTAGCGCCTATCAACGTTAATACGAACTAACGTCCATTAGTTCGAATTAACGTTGATAGGCGCTACACTAGTGCTCCGCTAGTTCGAACTAGCGGAGCACTAGTGTAGCGCCTATCAACGTTAATACGAACTAACGTCCATTAGTTCGAATTAACGTTGATAGGCGCTACACTAGTGCTCCGCTAGTTCGAACTAGCGGAGCACTAGTGTAGCGCCTATCAACGTTAATACGAACTAACGTCCATTAGTTCGAATTAACGTTGATAGGCGCTACACTAGTGCTCCGCTAGTTCGAACTAGCGGAGCACTAGTGTAGCGCCTATCAACGTTAATACGAACTAACGTCCATTAGTTCGAATTAACGTTGATAGGCGCTACACTAGTGCTCCGCTAGTTCGAACTAGCGGAGCACTAGTGTAGCGCCTATCAACGTTAATACGAACTAACGTCCATTAGTTCGAATTAACGTTGATAGGCGCTACACTAGTGCTCCGCTAGTTCGAACTAGCGGAGCACTAGTGTAGCGCCTATCAACGTTAATACGAACTAACGTCCATTAGTTCGAATTAACGTTGATAGGCGCTACACTAGTGCTCCGCTAGTTCGAACTAGCGGAGCACTAGTGTAGCGCCTATCAACGTTAATACGAACTAACGTCCATTAGTTCGAATTAACGTTGATAGGCGCTACACTAGTGCTCCGCTAGTTCGAACTAGCGGAGCACTAGTGTAGCGCCTATCAACGTTAATACGAACTAACGTCCATTAGTTCGAATTAACGTTGATAGGCGCTACACTAGTGCTCCGCTAGTTCGAACTAGCGGAGCACTAGTGTAGCGCCTATCAACGTTAATACGAACTAACGTCCATTAGTTCGAATTAACGTTGATAGGCGCTACACTAGTGCTCCGCTAGTTCGAACTAGCGGAGCACTAGTGTAGCGCCTATCAACGTTAATACGAACTAACGTCCATTAGTTCGAATTAACTAATTCGAACTAAGTTAGTTCGAATTAGCTTAGTTCGAATTAACTTTGTAGTGTAGACATACCCAGACTGTTCAACATACCATGCCTGCAACAGTACCTGCCCTTATTCCAATTTCCAATCCAGTCTGTGCTCCTGCTTGTTCTAGTCCCTGTTCCAGTTCTACTCCAGTCCCAGTTCCTTTTCAGCTCCTGACTCTGTAGTACTGATCCTTAGCTCTGACTCTGGATTAAAACCCTCTGGCACTGATCCATGGCTAGTTTCTGGACTCTAACCATTAGGCAGAACTCTTCCTTTAACTACTAGCCTATATCCCCGTCTCTATCACTGGAATGATTTGGCAGTGCTCAGATAAAAGGATAAACTACACACACACACACATACACTCTTAAACAAAAGCAATGCTCTTCTTTTTGGAAATGAACAGCCAGAGGTTTAAGGTATATTGTGATTCACTTCACTTCACTTCACATTCACTTCAAAATCCTGAAAAAAACCCAGCCCTCTCTCAAATACCTTAGTACAGGATAAACATATGAAAACTCAATTCCTCAAGGAACAGAGGGAGTTTGTGTCAGCAGAGTCATTGCAGATTCTAGTCTCCCAGAGTTGCCATCCTCAAGAGGACTTTAAAACTGCAACATCACCAAGCTGTAATGAGTCACGTTAGCCACTGTGTTGAAAAAACCTGCCCCATGCACAGAAGGCTGCAACAGACTATAATTATCTGATGTAGTGACTTAGAAAAGTGTTTCAAGGTCTTTTGATCTCACTCTAGGTTATATGATTTCAAAGTTGAATTTTGTCTGGGCAAAGTAAAAATAACATAACTTTATAGAATATTTTTCATCTATAGCTCTCAAAATTCTCTACAAAAGAAGGGATAATTAACTGGGTTTTTACAGGTAGAGACAATTCACACAGAGGTGATTTATCGAAGGTCACACATCAGGCAAGGGGCAGAGCTGGGGATACATCTGAAGCTAAAATGACAACCGCAGGGGTTAAAAACTAATGAGTTAAGCCCCCCAAAAGCTCTACATGGACTTAAAATTGTGAGATTTAAAAAAAATGTGTTTTTTTTAATTTGTCTGCTGACACCTGAACCTTTAGGAATCATGTTTCTAAAGTTTTCTCCATAACCATGCAGGCTGGGAACTTTGTATAGAAATGACTATACAGGACTCCAGAAACAAGAACTTCTAAGAAAGCACCAGGGATCAAGAGAAAATAGTGAACATCTGCAACACATCTGAGGACACTTATCTCCTAGTATAGTGACTGATGCTCTGATCCATATGCTATCAGGAGTAGCTATGCATCTGAGAGCAAAAGGAGCTGAGGACTTTTGAAACTCTGGACACTTTTTAGATGTCTAAATGGAAACCAAATTCTTGGGGGAATTGGGCCCTGGATGTTTTTCTGTACCTTGAACAGTGTTGCATGGACTTGATTGCTTACACAGTTAATAAGTATTGCATGTCCTCACCATCTGCCTGCCTGCTCATTGCTCACTTGACATTACCTCAAGCCCTAACGCAACATTTTTCCTCTACAAAAAGCAAGTTTCTTGTTGGTGAAATGCTGGCACTGGGATTGATTGACATGCAGAATCTTCTGGTATTTTAGAGATGCATGACCCCTCTGGCATCCAGTAATGAAACCAGTCATCTGTGTTTGAATAAGGAGCACATTCAATTTCCATGGAAATGTCAAAGTAAGATTTTTGTTTTCTTCTATTTTTATTTTTTTAATTATTGTTTTGATGCAGGATGAATTTGGTACTGATGTTTTCAAGTAGCAACAGGAAAGCACCGACGTTTTGAAATGTTAGTTCATGTCTATTTAGCCATTTGTCTTTCGGTAAAGAAAAAAAGCAGTAAGTAAAATACAGCTGAACATTAAAAGCCTCTTTCAAGGAGCCCTATCCTAAACCAGCATCTTGCAAATGCAAATGTTAGCCTGCATCTGCTTTAATGCTTGGAAAGAGCATTGCCCCCCCCCCCCCCAAAGTCACAAGGGAAATTCAGTGCACATGTGGGATTTTCACCAAGGTTACATTCTCACACAAACAAAAGTCTGCAGCTGGAGTAGACTGAGTTCATGCAGATACAAGGGAAAGGAATCTAACTCCTGGCTTAGAGGCAGCGTGTTGGATTGCCCCTTTTAGAACCTTTTCTCCAGCCTCTCTCATGGATTCGGGGGCACTGGGAGGGGGGAATTTTATTTGATGAATAGTAACTTCATTGAAAAATACATTTTTCAGGGTGCTGACACTATGTATGGATTCAATGAATAGTTTATTTGGAATGTAATGGGTTCATTTCTGTATTTGGAAAAAAAATCAGATGATTCCCTGTGACCATTTCAAAATCGCTTTTTGTTTTGAAATGTATCTTTCTCAAAATCCTCCGAGGGGGTGAAAAACACCAACAAGGAAAACAAGCCCTCCCCTCCTGAAAACAAACAAACAATTTTTTTCCATTTCATTTCAAATGTTTTTTGATCCAACATGATTTTTTTCCCCGGGTTTTGGTTTCGGCCGCTGAACTGAAAAATCAATTATTCGCTCATTTGTCATGATGACCCCATTGTAATGTCAAAGCAGACAGCTTTGGCCATGGGGAATGCCTAATTCTGAACACAGTGGCCACCTAGCCATCCACTGAGTTTCCCCTCCCTTTCCATGCCAGCCTATTTCAAGCAGACATGAAGCCCAGTTCTACCATGCACCGCGGGGGCAGTGATAAGGAAATGCTGCAGAGCCACTCTCCTGCTGTACTTTTCTTCTCTGGGGCCTGTCTTAGCCCCGTTATGCTGCAGGGTGAATTTGATCCCGAGTAACATTTATCTAAGAACCTTTCATAATAGGGTTTCAATGTAACAAAGGCTGGCATTGCACTAAAGCTTAATCTGAAACAGATGAAAACATGCAGTGTCTTGTAATGAATTGTGTGTGTATATAGGAAGGATTATGCAAGAGAAGCCAGAATAGTGCAATAAGAACATAACAGAAAACAGCTGTAACTGCCAATAAACAACATCGCTGCCTGAAGAGTTGAGTAAATATGCTGCCAAATGGGGAAAATAATCTTCTGGGTCGATATCGGAATGACATCCAACAGCAAAGAGATAAGTATGTATGTGTGTGGGATGCAATACTTAATTTAAAAAATTGGTCACTGCTAGGCCCAGAGTCAACAAAACACCCATGCACATGCTTGAATCATGTGCACAAACGCTTTGCTGAACTAGTAAGTAGGCATTTCAGACTACATGTTACAGGAGAATACATGTGTACAGAGGCCATGAATCTTCAGTGCTGAAGGGAGTTTTACCACTGACTACAGGAGATTCAGAATCAAATCATTAGAAACTGATCCAATACCCACTGAAGAGATACCTATTGATGTCAGAGAGTTTTTTCATCAAGCCTCTAAGGTCCTGATTAAAAGCATATAGTTGATTAAAAGAATATAGTTTAAAACAGCATTTATTCAGATGATTTTTTTTTAAATTCACCTTTACTGATTGTGCTGTACAGCAGGATAATCACATAAAAACACATCCAGATTCTCAGATTCACTGAATTTCTTTACCCTCTACCACATATATATAAATCTGCACAAGCCACTGGATATACTGGAAAGAAGGTTTCAGTGCATTATGTAATATCATGCCACACACTCACACGGTGTTAATACAGCTTGTCAATCAGGATCAAATGAACATAACCTTCAAAAGGAAAGGTTACACAACACAGATATTTTCTTTTGCCTAGAAACAAGTAGTATCCATGCAGGAAAAGTTCATTTGTACTAGCTGATTTTTCAGATTAGGAATATTCCAAACCTGGATTTGGTGTGGGGCAAGAGAGGGGGGATTTATGTCTATGAACACCCAATTAATATGAAAGAAGCCTATACCCAAGTTGTAGGGCATTATAGAAGCAGAATTATCTAAGGTAATTTTGGAAGCCTTGCCATTATTTTTTTATAATTTCTTATATTTATCTCAATACAAGGCTTTGACGGTCTCTATTAGAGAAATAGCCTTTTGATGCTAACTTGCTCCTACCCTCGAGCATGGATAGAAACTCTCCATTGACGTCAAAGGGTTTTCTAAATGCATGTCAATGTGAGAGAAAGTGCCTGCCAGTTGTTTTAAAAGGAAACACGCTATGGGAAAATCAGTTCCAGATGTGCTGTAAACGTCAGTTATATTTTGGTGAAAGGTTCTAGATTGACAGTCATGGAGATGAGAGTCCTTAATGTGGCCACCAAATAGGTATCATCTGTACACTGCAGGCAGAGTAAGGAAACATGGCCCTATCCATGTAACAGACCTGGAGGGGTCACATCTACTGGGCCCTGATTCCGTCTTCCTTCTGCATTTGGTAAAACAGTTAAGCACATGCTTAAGTCCCATTGTCATTTAAGCACATGCTTAAAATTAAGCACCTGCTAAGAGCTTTTCTGAAGGATCTCGTGCCTTCCTGTCCATTCATTCCTAAGGCCACCTACTGAGTTTATTTATCTGACTGCCAGTCAGTGCCATTTGGGATTGTGTTAGTTTGCTTATATCAGTGTGGCCAGTAGGACCTAGTGCAATGCCCCCTGTTCATTACAGTTTAAAGAGCTCCTTTCTGCCTGTAGGTATCTTTGTGATTCCCTCTGAACTCAATCAATGTTGCGCAAGATTACAAGCTTCCCATAGCAGTTACAGAATAACCTGAAGATATGAAAACACTTCTCTTGACTCTGGGAGGCTTGATTCAATTCTAAGGCTCCAGGTGCAATAAACCCTGAATTTGGACCAGTGCCCTCCAAGAGATCCAAATGAGTTTTTAGTTGAACGCTAAGGTCACAATACAAATTATAGGCCTTCTCTTGATGTGACTGTTCTAGTGTGTAATTCTTACAAACAAAATTGGACAGTACTCATTATTTAACCATTGTCAAATGAGTCGACGCCATGTAGAATTTCTTCCAGGCAATAGCACACTGTGAATTTAATATTCCTGATTGTACGTAAGTTGTCTCCCGGCTTCACTGTTAATGAGGAAACAGTGCTGCGGAAAAACATGCAATCGAAATAAATTAATAAATAAATAAGTAATACCGCAGTGTTGCGGAGATGTTATTTTGGGCACCGATGGATGTTTTTCCATGGGAGAGCGAGAGAGTGTGTGTGTGTGCGCGCGCACGCAGGGGAGGGAAAATGGGGGAGGAATTTTGGCAGTGGGAGGGAGGCGTATTGCTGTTCTTTGTTTTCCTTTGCTCCAAGAATGATTCAACTCTTTGGCTGTCCCTATGCTAATAAGCACAGATGAGTTCACAAGCCGGTGTTCTCAACATAGAAATCAACAGCTTTTAAAAATAAGCTCCAGTTCCCAGTGTGCATATCATTCCCGCTTGCCTTCTGTTGCAAGGGAAGGGAAGAAAGCCAGCTTCGTTCAAACCTATTACACTGACGAATGTCTCATAGTGTGGTGTGACCATACTCTTCCAATGACCAACTACACTCCCTTATCAAACCAAAGTCCTGATTGCCTGGGACCAATACCCCAATGTACCTTTTAACATTAAACACCAACCAAGATGAATTTGTGTCTCATAATCCAACGCTGTCCCCGAGTTGTGAACAGTCGACTTACGACTGTTCACAGCTGTCGTAAATGGTGGACCCTGAGTTACGAACGCGGAATTGTAACCAGTTTGTAAGTTGGGAAGAGGCTGTACAGCATGTGCATTAGATATAGGAATGCAAGACACCAAGGGTAAATGAGATACTCCAGAGCTACTCCATATTTTACTCAGCCATGTCTCAGGCATGCATCACACTCAGAGGGTATGTCTACACTAGCCCCTTAGTTCAAACTAGGGAGGCTAATGTAGGCGTTCAAAGTTGCAAATGAAGCCCTGGATTTAAATATCTCGGGCTTCATTTGCTTCTTCCCGGGCGCCACCATTTTTAAATGTCCCTTAGTCCAAACACCGTGCCCGCGGCTACACGTGGCACGGAGTAGGAAGTTCGAATTAGGATCTCTAATTTGAACTACTGTTACTCCTCGTGGAAGGGAGTTATAAAGTTATAGAACACTAGAACTGGAAGGGACCTCACGAGGTCATCAAATCCAGTCCCCTGCCCTCACGGCACCATCTAGACCATCCCTGATAGATGTCTGTCTAACCTGCTCTTAAATATCTCCAATGATGGAGATTCTATAACCTGCCTAGGCAATTTATGCTGCTGTTTAACCACCCTGACAGTTAGGAATTTTTTTTCCTAATGTCCAACCTAATCCTCTCTTGTTGCAATTTAGGTCCATTGATTCTTGTCCTATCATCAGAGGTCAAGGAGAATAATTTTTCTCCATCCTCCTTGTAACATCCTTTTAGGTACTTTAAGGCTGTGGGGAAGTGGGGATCTGGCTCCATCCCTTCCCTCCCTACCCCAGCCTTGAGCCCCCTTCTACACCTCTTCCTACACCTCAACCGTCTGCCTCATCTCAGAACCCCCTCCTTCAATCCAAGCCCCTCATCCCCTGCCCCATCCCAGAGTCAGAACCCCAGCCTCAACCCTCACCTCCCTTTGTCATTCCAACTCCATTCCCCATCTTCAAGCCCCCCCCCCACACCCTGAAACCCCCATTTCTGGCCAAACTGCAGAGCCCACACCCCCAGAGCCTGTATCCCCAATGCTTCAACCATGCCCCAACCTAGAGCTCCCCTCTATATTCTGAACCCTTTTGCCACACCCCCTAAATCAAAGTCCCCTCCTGTAACCCAAACCCCTCATGGCCGGATGGAGCCCTCACCTCTTCCCACACTTGAATCCCCTGCTCCCACCTGGAGCTACAACATGCACCCCAAATCCTTTGTTTCTGGCCCCGGCCCAGAGCCTACACCCCATCCCAGAGCTCTCCGCCCCCTGCACACCCTGCATGGCGAAAATGAAGGAGTGAGTGAGGGGGGAGCAGGGATACAATGAGCAGGGGATGCAGTGTTGAGCAGGACTTCAGGGAACAGGCAGGACGGGTAGTAGGGCAAATGTGTTTGGTTTCATATGATTAGAAAGTTGGCAACTTTACTGTAGGCCCTTTGGGATCTAAACACAGGGATTAGAATTCTGCAAAGCCCTTAAACAGTCTGTACAATGGTACAAGGAAGTTCCTTATTTTGCCTGTAGAATATGGAGCAGAACAATCTCAAATTAATTCTAGTACTTTACACTGTCCAAATTGTAGCTATGCTCAGGCCTTGTCTACATTACTGTGGCAAATCACCCTAATTACCTATATAATCCTAGATTACTGGAATGTCCACACAAGGGGTGAGCAAATTCAATCCCGCGGACCGGATCCCCGCGGCCCCTACCACTATTTTTACCTGTGCTTTTGCAGGTATCAGAGGATTGCAGCTTGGTTGGCCATGAATTGCCCTTCGCAGCCAATGTGAGTGACAGGAGGCAGTGTCCCAGTCCGTGATGCTTCCCGCCACTCTCATTGGTCACGAATGGAGATTTGTGGCCAATGAGAGCTGTGATCGTCCGATACCAGCAAAAGCGCAGTTAAACATATCAGCAACGGCCCACCAGGAACTAACCATGGTGGGCTGCCACTTTTTTATTGCCCACCCCCGACCTACACCATGCTGCAACAATGGGAGACACTCCTCCATTGGTTTATCTTTCTCCCTGGTTCCAGTGGAATACCAGAGTAGACCGGAAAACTCTCTGCAGTTGATATAGCAGGTCTAGGACCCCAACATTAACTCCTACTGCCTCGATCACACTAGCATTGATCCCTAGTAAGTGTAGACATGGTTTTAGTGGACCAAATCGTGCCCTCTTTTGTCAATCCTTATCAAGGCAATTCTGGAAGATGTGCCAAAGGAAGGAATATTGTGCTTAAATGAGAATAAACATCCATTGAC